GAGAGAGAGAGAGGGGAGAGAGAAGGAGAGGACATGGGAGGGAGACAGATATTAGGGAGAAGACCCAACTGGAAAGATATCAAAGAATTTGAACCATCAAAGGTATGTGAGCAGGAAAGTGATATGGTCAGAACTGTGTTTTGGTCCAGAGCTCAGATCAGAGTTAAGAGATAAAAATAGTGAAATCATGGGAGTTAAGACTGCCCCAGAAACAGAAGTACAAAGATAGAAAAGGGCTGAAGATTAAATCCCAAGAAATAACTACATTGGGGAGGATAGGAGGGAGGTCAGAGAAAAACACAAGTGATCTGAGAGACGGGACACCAAAAGAGAACCTCATAAAAATTAAAAGGGAAGCAGAAATTGTCATCAACAATATCAGAAGAGAGGATGGACGTAACATTTCGCATTCACGAAGTTGCTATTGCTCTTGAGACCGACAGCTTCACTGTAAGCAGGTGGGAGTCAGGGGAGAGTCGGGTCACAGTTAAAGAAAACGGTGTAGAATTATAAAGGCAGTGAGTGGGGGCCACCTTTCAAACAACAGTGAGAATGAATGGAAAGAGAAAAAAGGGCAAAAGTTTGTGGCCAAAGCAGAGTACAGGTGAAGTTTATACCAGGAGACAGGGGAACTTTCTTATCCCTATAGAAGTGAGGAGGAGACTGAAACAAAATAACAGGGAATGTACTGACAAGTCCTGGGGGGGGGGGGGGGGGGGTGGAATGAAGGCTGAAGAACAAATGGAAGGAAGCAATACAGTGGGTGCCTTGAAAAAGAGGAGACTCTAAGGGAAACTGGAAACATTGGTGATAATTATCAAGGTTAAGGGCACTCCAAATAACTGAATAAAGTAATAGGCTAAGAATTAAATGGGGTGGAGACTTGAAAAATAAGATTTAAACCACTGCTATTTGGGGTAGGATTCTCAACTAGAAATGAAGAAAACAGCAAAGAGCACTTAGGGCCTAGATACTGCAAAAGCAAAGGAACAAGAATTAGATGTTAAAAAAAGACTAGTAATATTGAAAGGTTTTAGGCAAAATAAACCCCCCAAACAACTGATAACTGTTTATGACAAAACATACACCACCAATCTCTGTATATTCAAAAGACTTCCAAAATCCAGCCATAGTCCACTTGCTTTAAACAAAGTATTATATCAAATGCCAATATTAAACAAGTAGGTGGTTTGTATTGCTTTGCCTACTGACTTGCAAGTTTCACATCAAAGTTTCGATCTTGTTATCTCTCAAAACATATTAGCTATCCCTCCAAACTGTCATCCACAAAGTCCAAAATCTTAACTTCACCCAAGTTACTGGCAAACAGGAAAAGAACTTATTTTTTCAGAAGAACACTGAAAGCCTCCCTTCAGGGTTGATGATTTATCACTTATCATTTCTTCAGATACAGCTGTTTAACTGATAATGAAGCAAATTCTAACTGTATTCTCATCTAGCCACATTTCTCCGTTGTGACCCCAGGACATGACAATTTCGGCAAATATGATCTGGTGAAATCTAACTGCACAACGTCTAAGGCATATTTCTCTTGTGAATCACTCTATTCGCCCTATCAAAAAAGCAAATAAGGCTAACGTGGCCACACCCAACCAGCTCTATCTCTATTCAAGGGTACCCCCAGACTTGAATTTATTTTAAAAAAATTTTTTTAACATTTTATTTATTTTTGAGACAGGGAGAGACACAGCATGAACAGGGGAAGGTCAGAGAGAGGGAGACACAGAATCTGAAACAGGGTCCAGGCTCTGAGCTGTCAGCACAGAGCCCGAAGCGGGGCTCGAACTCACGGACCGTGAGATCATGACCTGAGCCGAAGTCGGCCGCTTTACTGACTGAGCCACCCAGGCGCCCCCCAGACTTGAATTTAAATGAGCCTATGAATTATGTTATGGGTCTACCCTGGCAGGGTCTCACTACATTTCTCCAGGAAGACAGACTGTTCACTTTTTAATTACTTACTTTTTGTTTTTAAGAGAGAGAAAAAGAGAGACATGTGCACACGCTGGAGAGGGAGAGGGAGGAGAGGGAGGAGAGGGAGGAGAGGGAGGAGAGGGAGAGGGAGAGGGAGAGGGAGAGAGAGAGAGAGAGAGAGAGAGAGAGAGAGAGAATCTGAAGCAGGCTCCACACTCAGGGCAGAGCCCAACACGGGGCTCTTATCCCAGGACCCAGAGAGCACGACCTGAGCCGAAATCAAGAGTCCTATGCTCAACCCATGGGGCCACCCAGGCACTCCTAATTAGTTACTTCCGTTAAGTATAAAAATGAGACAACCTCTCTCCCCACCCCCAAAAAGAAAGAAAACAAGCAAAAACCAAACAAAAAAGCAAACAAAAAACCAATACAACTAAAAACAAACAAAAAACCAATACAACAGTTTTCTGGCCAACTTGAACATGGAAACTTTTGGTGATACAGACAGAAGAATCAAATGTCTATTTATAACGTTCACTACGTCAGTTATACGTATTTCAAATCGCAGACTTTGTTAAACAATATTCAGAAATTCCCTCTCCCCCTTTTCAACACTTCATGAAACAATTTCACTGAAAAATTTCCAGTGTGACTTTGGCATGTGTCTTCATGTTCACTGAAGTGAATGATTCATTCACCTGTTTTTTTTCAAAGCATTACCACCTTCCTTTAATTTATAAACGTTGTCTGAGTTAATATGAAGTATTATATGTAATATGACGTATATACAATGTGAAATATTATATGCAATATTTCAGAACTTCTTGAATCCCTGTGAACTTTTTAACCTGAGTCCTAAATGCCCATTTTCTATACCTTCAAGCAGTCTTTTCGTTCTATAGGTGGGCGTTGGATACGAAGAATCATAATCCCGACAAGGTAAGCACTCTTCTAGTATTTATGAAGTCGCTTAGCTTGGCAAGGTTTTGTACGGAATAGAATAAAGCGACTTTCTCTTTTCTGAGAGATAATTCTTGGGGGGGAAAGGGCCCTGGTTTACATCCAAGTAATCATCAAGTCAAAAAAAAAAAAATCACAAAGAATCACGAACCCAAATACTTAAGCACACTTCAATGAATAACATTAACTACCGCTTATGTAAACAGGCAGAGGCACCAACAGGCGCCTTCAGAACTTTTCTTTCTGACTCTATCAGAACTCTGCTATACTGTTACAAAAGGAGGGTAGAATGGGTTACTCGATGCCCATGAATTCGTTTTCTGAGAGAAACAGCGGTCGTAGTAACTCAAGTTATTCGTGTGTATTGTGTACTAATTCCCCGCCAGTCACTATTTTAAGCCTTTTGCATACATTAACTCAATCTTAACGATGCTCCTATGAAATAGGTGCTATTGATAACGCCGTGGGATGGGTAAGGAAACCTAGGCACAGAGAAGTTAAGAAACTTGCCAAAAGTCACACCGCTTCTGAGTGGCAGGCTGAGCGGAAGCCATACCGCCTCTTACACTAATAAAATTAGGTCTACATTTGCAAAGACAGCCTCACCTGTTGGACAGTTACCATCAGTTGCCTAAAGGAGACCTAAGTGAGGTGCCAGCATATTTTCATGTACTTCCTATTATCCGTGTGCCGTGTCTTCTCCTCCTCCCAACCTTTTAACTGATGGGGAGAGAATACGCTCCTGCGGGCCTAGCCCTTCCCGGCCTTCCCACACGCTAACTCACTCGAGCCGTTTCCTCGGATCCCGTAACTTTCCCAAGCTCCACACCGCTGGGAGCACTTCCTCGCTCGGTCCTCCGGCTGCACCGCACCGGGGTCGCGAGGTAGTCTCCCAAGGAAAAACCCGAACTCCAGAACCGGAGAGCAGGAGGGAAGGCGCAAAGGGCCGACAGGAGAGCCCGGCCC